AAAATATCGCAATATATCGGGATATATCGTATCGTGACCCCTCTGTTATGATATGTCTCGTATGGCCAAATTCTTGCCAATACACAGCCCTAGTCAATACAGTAAAAAACAAGAATCCTAAAATAACATATCTCCATTAGAACTATAATGAATGTACAAAATATTTTGTCCATCACATCATGACTGACTCTGTTTTCACTGGTCTCTGGGTTCAGCCATTTGGGAAGATAATCTGCTGCTTCAATAAGAAGAAACTCCCCGTCGTTGTCCTCAATTCTGCACACATAATTATCAGAATTTTTTTAGCAATAACGTGCACATAATTTAGTATTCTTCCTTGTTTTCTCAATTTCCTTAAGACAATAAGTCATTTCAGAACAAATGTTTTCTCACTTGGCTGCAAGTTCTGGGAAAGCCTCTGTAATYTGCTGCAAGAGGTAAACAATAAACCATTCGTCCTCGATGTTGTCTCCAAACTGAGTGCAGCCTCCAATGTGAGCTGGAACATCTCCTGTTAATGAACACACCTCTTCAGTTTGACCTCTYAGTGTTTAACAGAGTCACTGTCTAACAGTTACCTTTCTCGGGATGACATCTGAGGTTGAATGACTGATGCTGCCAGATGTATTGCACYAAAAGCGGAGCGACCTTTGCTAAAACTTCCTCTATCAGGTGTTTGAGACGTTCTTCTGCCTGATGACAGGTTGAACCGTCAGCCTGGATCAAGAACAGTTTGTACTGGACCATATCGTCCTGAATCATCCTCCTCTGCAGGGCGTCCATTGTGGTAACTTTGTTGTTTAAGAGAAAAGCGTGTTACGTTTGAACGAAATGGCGCGTGGGAATAGCTAACTTTACCAAATGCGTAAGAGTGTCATTCATCCTTACCTTGACTTGTWACTAAATGTGGAATTTTATGAAGGTGCTGTCCGGATTCTTATCAGTTCAGAAAAAGAAGTTAAATGAAATAAACTTAGGCTTTCCTCATTTAGTAAGCGTTGTTGTCACGTTAATGTCATTGTTTAGGTCCGTCCCTGATCTCTGTTCGACTTCCCTGAAAAACTTTAACATGTTTTTTTATTAATAATAATAATATTTACCATATAGACATTCTACTTATAAAAATGTATTTTTCTGTTTTGAAACATCCGAAATATTTTTTATTGTCATCGATGTTTTCATTTATTTCAAATGAAAATGCTAATTTTCCTCAAAAAAAAAAAAAAATACAGTTCACTCAAGACCGGACATATTTCACAAACGTACCACTTTGACCTACTGGGAAATGTAGTAGTTAAAAAAACGCATGCGCAGACGTTCTCACTGAGATCCAGAAATACATTTCCCATGAGGCCACGCGCCAAAGAAGCTACGTATCCATGACAGCCGCGCTATATTGTTGTCGTAGGTGGTGCTAACGTTAGCATACTGAATCCTAGTGTCTGAACAAGTTAATTTATTTTGAGCTATAACTTAAAATGGCAAGCAGTTCCCGGACCACACAGGATTATTATTTAATGTAGTGAGACTGACTTTAGCTGCAGTCTATAATTGGAAGTTTTACAACGCTGTAGTGTTGTGCGTGTTTCATTGTTATCACCGTCTGTGTAATGTTCATTTTTTTTACGCGCAGCCTCCCCTAGCAGCATTGCCTCCTCGTTCGTCGTTCTGGATCAAGGGGCTTTTTGTTTTTGACCGAAGAAATGTCGGAGCTCCTCTTAAACTGTTCGCAGAGAGTCCTAGAAGCAGCGGTGGGGATGCGAGACGGAGGCTTGAGCCCATAAAACCGAGACAGGAGAATGATTTCACGATACAACAGGAGACCTGTACCRCACAGACTTGAGATGTGAGTACCAATCACAAAAACGGAAATGTTGAATTWCCATGCTTTTTACTATAGTACTTGTTTTCCAATTGTTGTCTGGGACTTAAACCTCTTAAGGGGAAGTTTGATTCAAAAATACTGCAAAATACAGTCAAAATGTTTTTTTTATATATTTTATTTGTACTGATCCACATCGTTACACTTCACCTGACTAAGATCAGTTAAATCTTTACAGTAATAATTAGTCAATATATGTTTTGACAACAATCATGCATGTTCTGCGCAGACACACAATCTTGAGACATGAATGTCTGTGAAAGTTAACACTAAATTGGCTAAAGATTGTGCTCTGTAGCTTTTGGAAAACGTGCAGTAGTTTCCATGCTTTCTTTTTCATGACAGAGATAGCTCTGAGTATTGATTTCCAGAAATCTAATACTGTTTGCTTGCTTTACCTCAGCTCCACTAAGGGGATACTTAAGAAAAATTCCAAGTAATGTATTTTATTATGTTAAAACTAGACAATAGTTTATTTTCAGTTCTTTACATTGCAAGATTTTATTTTAGATTACAAGTACAAAAAATTGTCGAATATCACCAGATTTTCAAAGCCTCTATTACACTGATGTAAAGATAGTCTGCTCTTTTAACAAAAATGAAAACGCAGCATCCTCTCACTTATGCTTAAACAGCCTGTATGGGTCCATCTGTTCCTTCATGTACCTTGTTGACGTTAATGCTAAAATTTGACACAATGACTTTATTAATACGCTCTCAATCTGTGTCGTATGCAGTCGCGGGTTGTCTCGAAGCAGCCTCGATCACCATCCTCTTCCTGAAGAAGCCGACGATAATCAAGCCCCTCATCGCCACCTCCGTGACCTGCAGGAAGTCGTCTCTGCGCACAACAGGTAACTGAGCACCTGCAGACTTGGCCTGCTCTTTGAGGGTCAAACCGTATGCGGGTTCAGAGCAGGACCACAATGAAATGGTTTGCGTCAAACCCCACACACACACACATACTCTTGTCTGCATGTTTTGTAATCTTAGACCATCTTAAGCAGACAGACTGTTCTTAGGGTTCCTGCTACATGACACTCCGACGCTGCGGATTAATTAATATCGCATTGCCTTCTTCAGATGTGCAGTCAAAAGGATGAATAATTAGGCAGCCTGTTAGAATATTCCATTGAGTTGACATTTGCTTCTCATTTCCACTTTGATTTTATCAGCCACCACATGTCAAAGACTCGTTTGCAATTAGATAGATCCAATTATGAACAGGTGGAAGGCGAGGCTTGTAAGATGTTGATGAGATTTGCCTGGTTAAATAAAAATAAATAAATAAATAAATTATGTTTTCAAGTCATACACTAATTTCGTGAGCTTCTTGTTTTTTTCTGTTTCAGCTCGCAGACATCCACTGCTTCAGGCCACTCTGACTGTCCGACTGTGATCTCAGTCGCTTCCAACCAGTCCTGGTCCGGCATTCACAGCTCCACAGGGACTGGCATCTCCACAGAGAGGAGCTCAGTTTTCTCCTGGGGCTATGATGTAAGTTCTGGGCTTAACGCTGGCTGAGAATGATGGTTCTGTCTGTTGCAGAAGGCATGAAACCATCCTCTAGTATTTGTTCTGCTCTTGCTGCAAAATGAGGAAAGTATACAAACATGCCATCGCTTAGCAATCACTTTTTTTTTCTTAACTCCAACCAGCATTTAACACATTTAGTAARATGTGTGGCAAACTGTGGAAGGACACAGAATCGGAATCTGTTTAGTGCAGCAGATGGTGTGTTTTTCTGCTCCTTCTTTGTATGCTAGTCCTGATTCAGTTTTTTTTTAAATTATGCTTTGCTTTTTTCAGGCAGTAAGTTCTACAAAACATTTCTTAGACTCAATGATTGTTTTGTACGACAGAGTATTAGGGCCACATGAGATTATTTTTATTTTATTTTTTTAAATTACGAGAATAAAGTCATAATATTATGACATTAAAGTTGTATAAAAATAAAGTCATAATATTATGAGCTTAAAGTCGTAATATGAGAATAAAGTCGTAATCTTATGAGATTAAAGTCATAATATTACGAGAAAAAGTCAATATTYTAGCCTTTACACAAAAAAGCATGCAGTTACCACAGCATTAAAATGAGGAATGTTGAGCAACTTGTCAAGTCGTTCTTTAGTACTGCTTAAAATAAATAGTTATCTTTTAGCACATCAGCATCAAATTATCAGTAGCAGGACTTGGAAATTGTGCGAACGACTATAAAATGAAGTCAAATTGTAATTAATGGATGCATTGACAGATTTAATCAGCACGTAGCTAATTTGGATGAAAGCATATTAATCTAACAGTGACCCGAGTCATCACTGACTCCTTTATAAACACAGAGACATGGCTGTACACAGCAGGTGTGAGGAAAATAAGGAGGAAATGAGGAACGGAAAATGGACATGTGGTGTAAGATTATGACTGTTTTTCTCGCAAAATTACGACTTTAATCTYGTAATATTATGACTTTATTCTCGTAAAATTACGACTTTAATCTCGTAAAATTATGACTTTATGACTTTTTTCACTTCAGTAGAAAAAAGAACTTAATATTAGTTTCTTAATTTCTTCATCATCAGTGATTTTCTTTTGTTATATAGAGAGGAAAAGAGAGAGAGAGAAAG